CGCCGCGGGGCGGAGGGGCGCGGGGGGAGGGCTCGGTCAGTCGGGGTATGCAGACGGGGCCACGGTGCGGAGAGGGGGAGGAAGCGCGATCGGTCGTTCGGTCGAAATGTGCAGGCGGGGGCCACGGGGCGGGAGGGGGGGCCGGTCGGAATATGCAGACGGAGGCCATGGGGCGGAGGGGTGCGGGGGGGAGCTGGGGGGCGGGGGGGCACGGTTGGGCAGGCGGGGGGGCGCGGTCGGTCGGTCGGTCGGAATAAGCAGATGGGGGCCGCGGGGCCGGCGGGGCACGCGGGGGCGGCGCGCGCGCAGGTCACTTCCTAGCACGTATCCCAGCACATGAAGCCAGCGCACATCCCAGCACGTATCCCAGCACGTGGAGGCTGCGCGCAGCCCTGCACAGGTCCCAGCTCACGAAAGCAGCACAGTCCCAGCACACGTCCCAGCACACGTCCCAACACACATGCCAGTCCAGCGCACATCCCGGGCACGGTCGGTCGGTCGGTTGAAATTATGCAAGGGGAGATCAGACCGGTAGGTATGATAATATTAATGGTAGTAGTAATGCTACCACTACCAAGCGTAACCATCATTATAATAGCGCGTGCAAGCATACCAATACTATTGTTAAGTGTATTAATGTTATTATGAATAACAATAATACTGAGGCTACTAAGTTGAATCGTATTACACATACTAAGCGCAATCATCGGGCAATTATTATTATGTTACGGGGAATTGTATGATTCTTAATACTAGTAATTCTATTACTTCTATTGAGAAGAGTGCCAGTAGTATACGGACACTACTAGTACCAATATTCATTCTACTATCAAGAACAGGAGTAGTCATATTCAGAGTGGTACTAATATCACGACTACAAGTAATAATACATGTCATACTGCGAGCACTAATAGATTACACATGAGATGGATATTATATTCTTATTATTCATAACACGGACACCAATGCCATCAATCATAATAGTAACATGGGGAACACAGTGATGCTACGATAAAAACTAGCACGAATAGCGCTAAGAGTAATACAAAGAAGATGGCAGTTGTACGAATGCTAGACATATTCATGCGAATGCTACTAATAGTAATACTTATCGTGACATTACTGAGAACAACAATGTGAATGAAACGAGAATTAGTAACGAGGAGGGGGAGAAGGAGGAGGAAGAAGAGGAGGAGGAAAAGGAAGAGGACGAGGAGGAGGAGGAGGAGGAGGAGGAGGAGGAGGGGAAGGAGGGCATTGGCAGTCGCCTGAGGCATTATGTATTAAATGGAATGTTTGCGTCGTGTCTGTCTGTCGTGTTTGTTGGCGGCTAGGACCGCAGCCCCGGTCCCGGCCCCGGCCCGGGCCCTGGCCCCCAGCTCCAGCCCGTGCCCCTGCCCCTGCCCCAGCTCTGGCCCCTGCTTTGCTTGAGCCGTACGGCTTACATTTGTGAGGCGTACCGCGTTCGCAGAAATCAGCCAGAGCTGGTTCAGGCAGAGGCTTGCGCCGGACGCGGAAGCAGCAGGTCTGAGTGAAGGCCCGACCAGCTCAGGGGCACGTTCAGGGCTACGTTGCCAGATGGGGATCATACGCGATTCTCGCGCAAGCCACTCAGGCTAAAACTACTTCGGCTTGAAGTCACTCTCGCGCTCATGCTACTGATCCTCGTGTGAATGTGCTCAATGTTGCATGGGCCGAGCAGAGCAGCTCAAAGACTGGAGTTCGGCGTAAACTCTGACGTGATATTGAGCTCAGAGTAACCTGGCGAGCTGCCGAATTCGACGCCAACAGGATGTGCGATCATCCGAAAGGACCGGGGACGCGAGAGCTTGAAGGTAGTCGTGCCCGGCGCGGCGCGAAGCGTGAAGTTGTGTGACCTCGACGAGGTGCCTGCCCAGTTGCGCTGCCGCGCAGAGCCGACACCGCCCGGCGGTGGACTGGTGCGGGCTCCGGAGGCGCCTGAAGGCCCCCAGAGGCCCCACGAGGCTTCAAGGGCGCCCCCCGGGGGTCCTGCGGACCTCACGAGGGCTGGAGTCGCGCCGAGAGCGGCCAAGATCGACTCCCAAGAGCCTTCCATGGGCGCGGGTCATTGGGTGTCAGGCTTCGTGCTGGCCCCAAGATGGCCCCACGACGGCCCCAATGTGGCCCCAAACGCCCCAGAATTTTTCAGGAGGGAAAGAAACACACAGACACAATTAATCGGCGATTTCCTTGAAAATATAGGAAAATATGGGAAGTGGGGGGGAAGACAGAAACCCCGAAAATATGGCAAAATATGGGGGATCCTTTTATTTGTGCGTATTTGTTTGTGTGTCCCAGGGCCCCTTCACATTGGGTGTCAGGCTTCGTGCTGGCCCCAAGATGGCCCCAGGAGATCCCCACGACGGCCCCAATGTGGCCCCAAGCGCCCCAGAGTTTTGCCCTCCCTGGGGCGCGGGAGCGCTGCCTCCCGCCGATCGGCTTGCGACCACGGTTGAACACGACCGTCCAGCTCTCGCGCCGAAGATCGCCGAAGACTGTCAGGATGAAGGGGCCCTGGGACACACAGATAAATACACACAAATAAACAGATTCCCTATATCTTCCCAGATTTTCGGAGTTTTTTGGGCCTCCCGCCCAATTCCCCTATTTTCCCATATCTTCTGGGGGGCCGGCGATTATTTGTGTCCGTGTTTTTTTTCCCTCCTGTCAGAAGACCGTCAGAAGACCGTCGGCTGGCCGCCGACGACGGCCGCAGACCGCCCAAGACCGACGGGCACCACAGGGGTCCATGGCCGAACACGCGTGGCCCCCGGCCGCCCCTCCGCCGCGGCGCGCCTCTCGCCCTCCGGCGCTCCCTGTTGTGTGGCCTGTCCTCTGCTCCAGGCCTCCCTTCGCGCTGGAGCGCGTCGTCGTCGTCGTCGCCGCCGCCGCCGCCGTCGCCGCCGTCGTCGTCGTCGCCGCCGTTGTCGTCGCCGCCGCCGCCGCCGTCGTCGCCGCCGCTGCCGCCGTCGTCGTCGTCGTCGTCATCGTCGTCGTCATCGTCGTTGTCGTCGTCATCGTCGTCGTCGTCGTCGTCGTCGTCGTGGTCGTCGTCGTCGTGGTTGTCGTGGTCGTCGTGGCTCTCGTGCGCGTGCTCGGTTCCAGCCCGCCCGTCTCGGGGCGCCGGGCTGCGGGAGGGGAGGAGGTCAGAGGAGGAAAAGATTCCGCTACCGCTGCCCGTCCACCCCTGCCTTCGCCCTTTTTGGCCTTCCCCGGGGGTCCCTCGTCTTCGGGCTCCTGGTCAGAACACGCCCTTGGCAGGGCTCCCAGGAGCAGCGGTGTCGGATGCTTTTGTTCCCCCCGCGGCGGCGCGCGGCGCTGCCCTGATCTCTGGGCCCCTCCAGGGGAAAACGCGACAGGTTTGCGCCGCGTCGGCGCGGCGGCACCGACGTGGACGTTCAAGGTTGAGGCCACTGGCGGTCTGAGCCAGGCCAACTTTGAGCGATCTTCGGTGTCGAAAGCTGAGAATTTAACGGTCTGCGCGGTGTCAGAAGCCAGCGTCCACGGCGGCACATGAGCCAGCCGGTTATGCACCCTCGGTGCCTCCCACGTCCTTGCCTCGAAGAAGGAACATTGGCACACGCATGCACTTTCGGAGGTCCGTGCGGATTTCTGGGATCTGCGCAAGACCCCCCTAGCAGCGCCTCCAGCACCGTCCCTGACGCGCTGCGCGCGCCATTAAGGGCGGTCCAGCGTCAATCCAGGATATTCACGCGGACCTTCGAACGTTGATCATCATGCCCACGGGGCGAGGAGGCTGCAGGGTAGGACGGCGCCGACCATACACTGGCACTGGCCCTGGGGTCCAAGGCGGGCCTTGCCCAGATCCGTGTGTGTTCGTGGTCGGTTGGCCCCCCCCGAAAAGCTCGAAATCGGCAGCTTCGTGGAGCATCGGTCGCTTCCCGGCCTAAGCCTTGGCATCTGGGCGGTCACTTCGGTTGATCTTTGGCACCCGGTGCCCAAAAGGTGTTTGGGGTCGGGTTGCACTTGCACGTACACTGATCTAGGGGGCTACCTGCGAACCCTACCCCTACCCCCTACGATTTCTGAGGGGGAGGGCGGGGTTCACTTCGCTCGGGAGCTCCCAAACGAAGTGAACCCAACACTTTCCCTCAGAAATTGTGGGGGGTAGGGGTAGGGTTCGCATGTGGCCCCCGATGATCGCGACCAGGCCAGTCCCGGGCCGAGGATTGGTGCCAATGGAAGCCTGCCAACAGCCGAGCCACGAGGGCGCACGCGCCGATCCCGTGCCCAGGAACGGTCCGGTCAGGGCTGGTGCTCGTGTGCAGCGGGCGGGGCGAGGACGAGGATCGATTTTCTGGGACGCTCTGAGAAGGTCGCGGCGCCCCAGATATCCTCCACAGCCGCTGGATGTCTGAGATTCTCGATCTATTTTCGTCCGAATTTGTCCTCGTCCTGGCTTCGTCTTAGTGGTAGTAGTCCGTGGGCTCCTACCGAGGAATGTGCTGCTGGTGGTGTGTGTTGTTCTCTTGGGGGGGCCCGGGCCAATGGCCCCGTTCGCGCAGCCCGCACGCTGCGCCGCGCGCTCAGCAGGGTGGGAGGAGGAAGGGGCGGGGACACGGCGTCTGGCTGTGCTGAGGTGGCTCAGCACTGGTTCCAGCCAGCCGGAAGAGCGGGCAGGTTCGAGGTTCTGGGTTCGGAAAGGTTTTTTGCCTTTTTCCGCTTCCTGCGGCCGTTTTCGGGCCCCCGGACCGTGAACAACGGATCTAGGGTGAAAAATTGCGCCACATGGACCCTGGGAGGGGTCAGGGGGCCCATTTTGAGCGGATTTAGCCTCATCCCCCCTTCCCGATCGATTGTCTGGGGTCCTGACCAGTTCAGGCCGCCTCCAAGCTGTGGCTCTTTGCTTCTGGATACTCACGATTCTTTATCTGTCCCTCTTCTTGTCCTTCTTCGCGCTCTCGGGGCGCTTCTGTTGCACACTGCACACTGCGGCCCCCGCGCGGCGCACGATGCAGGCCGGGTCCGTGACCGTGTCCCCCGGGGTGAGCGACGACGGATACGCGGGGTTTTCGTCAGGACGATCTCGCCGAAGCATTGCTCCGGTGCCTGCGACGTCTGGATGCCAGCGGGGCGCCAGGATGGCGCCTTTCCCCCTCGGGAGACGCGGGAGGTGGTCGGGGAGTCCCCTCGCATTCCAGGTCTTCTGCTCGTCATCTGGTCAGATCGCGATCACGCGCCTTCTGCTGCTGCTTTTCGTCGTCCATCCTCTCCCTTTCCTGAGTTGTCCTCCTTGTCCACCTCCTCCTCCTCTCTCATCATTCCTCCCCATCCTCTTTCTCTCGTCATCGTCATCCTTCTCCTCTCCCTCTTCTTCCCTCCTCCTCGTCCCGCCTCCTCATCGTAATCTCTCTCTCTCTCTCTCATCATTCCCTCCTCCCTCATCCTCACTCCTTCCCCCCTGCGCCTCCTCCTCCCTCTTCGTCCCTCCCCCCTCCTCCTCCTCCTCCTCCTCCTCCTCCTCCTCCTCCTCCTACTTCTCCGACCTCTTCGCCTTCTCCTTCTTCTCGTCCTCGTCCTCGGCCTCCTCCCTCCTTCCTTCGTTTGTTCGTCCTCTTGCGCCTCCATCCTCCTCGCGCGCGTCCCTCGTCGTTGTCCTCCTCCTCCTCCTCCTTCCTCATCCTCGTCCCTCCTCCCGCTTACTGTCCTTATCCCTTACCTCTTCCCAGACCGACCAGGGCATTTCCACGCACCTGGGCCAAGCGCCCCGGGTGATGGACCAGTTCCGGGAAGGGGGAGGGGGTACAGGGCCCCCTTGTTTCCCCTCGAGGCTGTTGTTGTTGTTGTTGTTGTTGTTGTTGTTGTTGTTGTTGTTGTTGTTGTTGTTGTTGTTGTTGTTGTTGTTGTTGTTGTTGTTGTTGTTGTTGCTGTTGGCGCTCTCGCCGAGGCGCCAGCTGCGTTTTCATTGAAAATGAGGCTCACGCTCGAGCGGTTTGGGGGACCGCCAAATCTGGCCCCCCAACAACAACAACGCTCCCGTTCGAGACGTCCTCCTTTTTTACTCAGGGCCAGTGCTCTTGCTCGCCGCCGAAAGCAGCCGTCTCAACAAAACCAGCGCTCCCGCTCGAGACCTCCTCCTGTTTTACCTTGGACAGGCGTGCTACTCTTTCTCTCATCGGCGCCGCCCCCCAGCAACGACAACGCTCCCGCTCGAGACTTCCTCACTTTTTTACTCAAGGCGGTGCTCTTGCTCGCCGCCGACAGCCGCCGTCCCGACAAAACCAGCGCTCCCGCCCGAGACTTCCTCCTGTTTTACGCTGGGTGCTCTCTTTTGAATTCGCGCCGCTCCCAGCAAGAACAACGCTCCCGCTCGAGGCTTCCTCGTTTTTCTTCAGAACAGTGGTGTTCCTCGCCGCCGACAGCCCCCGTCCCGACAAAACCACGGCTCCCGCTCGAGACTTCCTCCCTTCTTACTCAAGGCGGTGTTCTTCCTCGCCGCCGACAACCGCCGTCCCAACAAAACCAGCGTTCCCGCTCGAGACTTCGTTTTGTTTTACGCTGGACTAGCGCCCCACTCTCTTCAGCATTGACGCCGCTCCCAGCAACAACAGCGGCCCTGCTCGAGACTTCCTCCCTTTCCATTCAGGGCCAGGTCCTTGCCTCGCCGCCGACAGCCCCCATCCTCACCAAGGCAATCCTGTCGCTCGATACTTCTTCCTTGTGCTTTACCCTTGGCTGGGGCTCCACTGGCGGTCTCGCATCGGCGCAGCAAGACGCGGGCAAGCGTTTTCGAGGCGGGATATGTTGAAATTCCTCGGAGGAGGTTTTTGCAAGACCTCATTGGGCGGGAGATCTGGGAGTGGGAATAACGGACCCCGCTATAGAACAATAACCCCTCATGATGGGGATGGTTACCATGATGGTCGCATGCTTCGTGTGGCGACATCGCACATGAGGATAAACTGTTTGTTGTTGTTGTTGCTGTTGTTGTTGTGGTTGTTGTTGTGGTTGTTGTGGTTGTGGTTGTGGTTGTTGTTGTTGCTGTTGCTGTTGCTGTTGCTGTTGCTGTTGCTGTTGCTGTTGTTGTTGCTGTTGTTGTTGTTTTGTTGTTGTTGTTGTTGTTGTTGTTGTTGTTGTTGTTGTTGTTGTTGTTGAACATTATTTATTCTAAAGAATAATTATTGTTGGGACCCCTGGTGCGCGGCCCCCTCGCCGCGCCTAGGCCGCAGCCACATTTTCATCATTTTCGTGAGGAAGTCTCAGGCAAAACGATGTGGTCCAGATCCGGTTGTTTTGTTGTCCCCTGTTTTCCCTTGCAAAAAACACTATAAAATGAAATTTCTTGTTCTAACATAGCCAAACTTCAAGAATCCTTTTGCAAAAAATAAGGTAAAGTGCACACTCGCGCGCGCAAGACGAAATCCTTCCAAAACCTTTGTTTTCGTAACGATTTTAACATACAAACATCAAAAACCCAATGGTTTTTCAAAAACAAGTTGTGAAAATTCTATCCCGCGCGCTCTTGCGGATTCGTAGGGAACCCAACACTTTTTTAACATTTCTGTCAAAAGGGCTTTTGCGAGCAACTTTTTCACGTGCTTCGAACTTCTGCAACAACGGTTGCGCACCTGCCAGGGCCATCATCCCTGTCAAATAATACCATGCGGGACACATTCGTTTTTTCTTCGCGCGCGCACGCCGTCGTCGTCGGCCGCGGGGCCCTGAATAGTAGCCACGGTCGTCCGCATGCCACGAAGTGAAGTGTCCGAACGTCATAGGGCGGGAAGCTGGGTGTGGGTGGTGGCGAAGAGTCGTTTGGAAATTTGGTAGAGCTTGAACCGGCCCCCCCACAAAGTGGGGGTATTGCCCGCTTCCTATGAAAACCCTGGCACTGGTGAGAACGGAGTGTCCCCAGTCTTAAATGATTGTTGTTGTTGTTGTTGTTGTTGAATTCCCATTTCTGAAAAATAATTATGGTGGATCCCCCCCCACACCGGTGCATGCCTTTTTTCTTAATCAAAGTGTGCCCTTCGATGCTCGCACCCTGTTTTTTAACAGGGAAAGTCTTGATGCTCAAACTGGGCCCCTGGCCCCCCGGTTACAACAACAACGGCTCCCGCTTGAGACTTCCTTACAATTTAGCCAGGACCCCCGCTCACGCCCGAGACTTCCTCGCATTTTATTCAGGAATCGCGCTCTCGCTTGGGTCGTCCTGACAATTTATTCAGGAATCGCTCTCCCGGCGCTCTGGAGTCGCGCTCTCGCTGGAGACTTGCTTGCAACTTACTGAAGAATGGCCTTGCGTTGGTATTTCTTGCAATTTGCCCAAGCGCCGCGCTCCCGACACCCAGGCACCCAGGAGTCGCGCCCGTTGTGGCCCGATGTGCATGCCCTTCGTGGCCCCGCTGTCGCCATTTGTGTCCCCCTCATTGTCCTACGTGGCCCAGTTGCTACCCTCAGTGGCCCCATAGTTGCCTTCTGTGGCCCCGCATGATCTGCACTTCGTGGCCCCCGCTCGTTCGCGCTCTTCGTGGCCCCATACGCATTCCCCGTGTCCCCGCTGTCGCCCTTCGTGGCCTACTTCGTGCCCTTCGTGGCCCTGCTGTCGTTCTCTCTCGCTCTCGCTTTCGCTCGTCGTTGCCGTCGTCGTCGTCGTCGTCGTCGCCGTCGTCTTCGACGTCGTCGTCGTCGTCGTCGTGGTCGGTCCCCTGTCCGTCCCTCTTGGGGTCGGGTCGACGGTCCGCGGCCGCCCCGCCGATCAGCGCTGCCGCTGGCCAGGCCGACGGTCCGCGGCCGCCCCGCCGCTTGCCGGGGCCCGGCCTGCAGGGAAGCAAGGTATACCCCCCAAAAGGGGTTCAATCGGAGATGAAGAGGGCGGGTATCGAGCGTTTGGGAAATACGCGTTAGTGGACACTCGAGCATATAAGGGTGAGCAGTCTTAAACTTGTTGTTGTTGTTGTTGTTGTTGTTGTTGTTGTTGTTGTTGTTGTGGTGGTGGTGTCGGTTGTTGTGGTGTCGGTTGTTGTTGTTGTTGTTGTTGTTGTTGTTGTTGTTGTTGTTGTTGTTGTTGTTGTTGTTGTTGTTGTTGTTGTTGTTGTTGTTGTTGTTGTTGTTGTTGTTGAATTTTCATTTATGAAGAGTAATTATTGTTGATATCCCCGCTGTTTTTTCTCAATCAAAGTGTGCCCCTCGACGCTCGCACCTGTGTTCTTTTTGAAAGGGAAAGTCTTCCTGCTCAAACTGGGCCCCTGGCCCCCGGGTTACAACAACAACGGCTCCCGCTTGAGACGTCCTTACAATTTAGGCAGGACCCCCGCTCCCGCCCGAAACTTCCTCGCATTTTATTCAAGAATCGCGCTCTCGCTTGGGTCGTCCTGACAATTTATTCAGGAATCGCTTTCCCGGAGCTCTGGAGTCGCGCTCTCGCTGGAGACTTGCTTGCCACTTACTGAAGAGTAGCCTTGCGTGGGGATTTCCTGCAATTTGTCCAAGCGCCGCGCTCCCAACACCCAGGCACCCAGGAGTCGCGCCCGTTGTGGCCCGATGTGCATGCCCTTCGTGGCCCCGCTGTCGCCATTTGTGTCCCCCTCATTGTCCTACGTGGCCCAGTTGCTACCCTCAGTGGCCCCATAGTTGCCTTCTGTGGCCCCGCATTATCTGCACTTCGTGGCCCCCGCTCGTTCGCGCTCTTCGTGGCCCCATACGCATTCCCTGTCCCCGCTGTCGCCCTTTGTGGCCTACTTGTGCCCTTCGTGGCCCTGCTGTCGTTCTGTCTCGCTCTCGCTTTCGCTCGTCGTCGCCGTCGTCGTCGTCGTCGTCGTCGTCGTCGTCGTCGTCGTCGTCGTCGTCGTCGTCGTCGTCGTCGTCGTCGTCGTCGTCGTCGTCGTCGTCGTGGTCGGTCCCCTGTCCGTCCCTCTTGGGGTCGGGTCGACGGTCCGCGGCCGCCCCGCCGATCAGCGCTGCCGCTGGCCAGGCCGACGGTCCGCGGCCGCCCCGCCGCTTGCCGGGGCCCGGCCTGCAGGGAAGCAAGGTATACCCCCCGGGTTCAATCGAAGCCGAAGAGGGCGGGTATCGAGGGTTTGGGAAATACGCGTTAGTGGACACTCGAGCATTTAAGGGCGAACAGTCTTGAGTTGATTGTTGTTGTTGTTGTGGTTGTGGTTGTGGTTGTGGTTGTGGTTGTGGTTGTTGTTGTTGTTGTTGTAATTGTTGTAGTGGTTGTGGTTGTGGTTGTGGTTGTGGTTGTGGTTGTGGTTGTGGTTGTGGTTGTGGTTGTGGTTGTGGTTGTGGTTGTGGTTGTGGTTGTGGTTGTGGTTGTGGTTGTGATTGTGGTTGTTGTTGTTGTTGTTGTTGTTGTTGTTGTTGTTGTTGTTGTTGTTGTTGTGATTGTGGTTGTTGTTGTTGTTGTTGTTGTTGTTGTTGTTGTTGTTGTTGTTGTTGTTGTTGTTGTTGTTGTTGTTGTTGTTGTTGTTGTTGTTGTGTGAGCCCCTGGAGGATCCTGTAGACTTCCGAAGGCCTCAGCAGACCCCCTCCTCCTCCCTCCTCTTCTCCTCCTCCCTCTCTTCCTTGGACAAGGAGGGGGGAGGACGCCAGAGCGAGTGGTCCAGGTGGTCCCTGGCCCGGATGTGGCAGAGTCTGGTGAGGTTTCTCTACGCTTCGTGCGCGCGGCGCCTCGGCACAGCCGCTTTCGACATGGATCGCTACGGGCGATCGGTACGATTCGTTCGCAGTGCACGGCTGGCGACTGTGCGACGAGTGATCGGTTCGAGTGGCGTTCGGCTCGACAGCAGGCTGTTGGCACGAGCGGCTCGGTGCGAGGGGTGCGCACCTCTCGCCACAGCCGGTTCTGAGGTGCACCGATGTCGACGCTCGGCCAATGGGGCATCTCATGGAGTGCCTCCGGTCAGCAGCGCGTACAGGGAGGCTGGAACACGTGGCTGGGGCCAGCCCTTCCACTCTTTCCATCCCTGGCCAGTTTCCCTTTACTTTCTCTGCCGTGCCATCCGTACCGGTTTCGGGCTGGTTTCAGCCCCTGCTAGTCTCTCCAGCCCTGGCCACCACTTTGTCATGGAAATCCCAACTCTCAACTCTTCAGCTTCCCTGCAGACCCTCTTCTGCAGAACCTGCCCCAGAGCGAAGGGCAGGACATGGCGGTGATCCTGACGCCGTCCAAGCAGGCGCCGTGGCCCAGAGCGGGATCCCAGGAGCGCTCCGCGTGTTCGGACTCTCCCTCTCTCTCCTCTCCCCCGGTGCCACACTCGCCCGCCGTGCAACCACCGCCATGCTTTGGCCGCGTCCTGGCTCCGAGCCGCCGCCCACAAACGTCTGGCCTCTCTCGTGCTGGAGCGTGCGCGCGAGCACCGAGCACGGCAGCGCGCCCCCCCGGGGCGAGCGGGCTCCGGACCGCGCCCTGCCTCGCGCCGTGCGCTCCCGTGGTGCGGCGCACGGCCCCCCCCCCCCCTCCCTCTGGCGGAGTGGCCCCAAGGGGCCCGCCGCGTGGACGGACGGCCCGTGCCGGCTCGGAGGACGCGGAGCCAGGGTCCGGGCTGCCCTCCGCCCTGCGGGGCGGTCGGCCGTGGGTGGGGGGGGGGGGCAGGGCACCCGCAGGGGCGGGGTCGGCGGCGAGTTCCGAAGCCCACCCTCGCCGAGCAGCGCTTCTGGCACCCCGATGGGCGGCGGGGGGTACACCCTGCGAAATGCTTAGGAAATCATGGGTTAAGAAATTCATAGTCTCAGAACTTGAATAAATACCCCAAATTCATATTACAACCTGAGGGTTTACATTGAAACATTAAGAATAGTCGAGACTCTGGCCGAAAACTTAAGTTTTCTTGAGCATCGCCTAAGGTGTACCCTCGCCGAGCAACGATTCTGGCACCCCGATGGGCGGCGGGGGATTAGGGTGCGGAGGGCGCCACCTACAGGGGGGGCAGCGGGCACTGGTGGGGCAGGTGGGGCAGGGATGTCAGCGGCGGGTCACGGGGGCAGAGGGGGGGGAGGAGCGGAGGGGGCGGGGAGCTGGGGTGGGGCGGGGAGGGGGGGTGAGAGGGGGAGGGGGGGCGGGCGGGAGGGAGAAGGGGAGGGAGGGTGAGGGAAGGGACATGGGGGACAGGGCAGCGATGGCAGGTAGGGCAGTGCGACAAGATGAGACGGGGAGGGATTTTCATGAGGGGCGGGACGACGTGAGACGGTTATGGCGTCGAGGACACTGGGGCACCAGAAAGGACAAGAACGGCTCGAAGGCATCGATCTTCGGCCCGCCTCCCTGCTCTTCCCCCCGCTCCTCCACCCTCTTCCGCCATCGGAGGGGCGATGGGAAAGGCGAGAGGTGGGGGGCGAAGATCTCAGGCGAGAGCCCCTGGTCGCCTTCGCGGCCTCCTCCTCCTCCTCCTCCTCCCTCCTCCTCCTCTCCTCCTCCTCCTCCTCTCCTCCTCTCCTCCTCCCTCCTCCTCCTCCTCCTCCTCCTCCTCCTCTCTCCTCCTCCCTCCTCCTCCTCCTCCTCCTCCTCCTCCCTCCTC